CCATCGTCGTCGCCGTCGTCGTTGTTCTCCGCCTTCCCGAGGCCCGCTCACCGACATGGTCTCGCCTCCACCCTCCGCGGAGAGCTCTATCGCGCTTTCGCGCTCTCCTCCCGGTACGCTTTCTATATATGATATTAGTGCCCCCGAACTGGAACAACGCCCCGAAACTTGCGAATCGCATAATCCGACCGGCGCTTATCTCTCCTTTCTGTACAAAAGATATTTTATTTCGCTCATCTGCGTTACACCTATCTCCGTTCGTTATTCGCCGTTTTCATTTTCATTTCTATCTCCGCGCTGCGCGTCACTGTTTTAACTTTTTTCTCTTTTTTTATTTTATTTGATCCTCCTCTTTGATAGTACGATTTCACCCGTATCAATCGCTACGGTTTTTTTTCCTCTCAATAGCGCTCGACGCAGCTATGTTATTGCTATGTTGCAAAAAAAATTCGCTGAATTGCTACACGCGTCGGCAGCGGAGAGTACCGACGGGCACTCCCTGACGTAATCGTGCAAATTAATTCGACTCGCCCACCACGAGAAAGTTGCTCTTTTCTGTATCAAGTGTGTGTCCCTTGTGTAGCAGCATGGAAAAATCCCTCGACTCGCGGAATAGTTTACAAAACAATAGCGTTACTTATTTGCTAATTGAATTATTAAATATCTTCCTTGATGTACCATATCTACTTGTGTGTATGTATATATTTCTTGTCTAATTAAGTTTATAAATCTTACTCAAACTTACATTTTTTTATCCTCTTTAATTAAATTTTTCTTCAATTTTATTCAGCTTCTGTATCTCTATTTATTATACGCGTACGTTTCTTCGAGGTATATTTGTAACGAAAATTGCATCACGATGTGTAGCTGAAATTTTAAACTCGGCTTTACTCGTTCACGAATATGAAGATCGCATTTGAAGTAATCGCGCAGGATGAAAGTCTCTTCTCTCTCTCTCTCTCTCTCTCTCTCTCTCTCTCTCTCTCTCTCTCCCGCTTTCTCGTATTTAAGCGTTAAATGAACGCGCTACGAACGGCGGCCCTTAGTCACTGGATTATCCACGTGCGATTGCGGCCGACTTACATTCACGCAGTTCTCCATACATTCAGAGAAGTTTCGCGCCGTTCGCGCGCTCAATAAGGCAGCCGGCAATGAGGCAGTCGTAACTATACCTGTATTACATAGCACGTTCTCAATTTTACTTATCCACGACAGAAATTGCTCCGAACTTTCCGGACGGGAGATACACGTAAACGTCGTCGTCCAATTACACCGTCCGGGAATATATCTCATTCGGTGAAATATGAATTTACAAGTTAAAGCGATTGTCAAGTTGGTTTTCAAAACGCGCGCATACTCTCGAGGGACCTTATTAATTCCAAGTTTCTTTAAGGAGGATAATAAATAAATCGAACGTGGGCGAACCTGAGAGGGCTGTGAGAAAAAGCATAGGCGGGAGTTCCAGTAAAAACGGTCTGTACGTATCGGGAAACCTATAATATATCGGGAACCCGTACATTAACGCAGGGGCTGGCGGAAAGTCTTTAGTAATAATAACAGCAAACAGCGGGAAAACGTAATGCACGCGAATAAAAGAAATGGAAATGGTAGCGAGCCATTAGAGGGTATATAAAACGCCGACTCTTCTCGTGTGCCTCGTGGGGCGGACGAGCCTCAGGGTCGTTTTTCAAGGGGGTCAAGGGGAGTCTCTCGCCCCGAGCGAGGTCACGCTTATTAATATACCAACTTCTCCAATTCAAATTCGAAAACGTAACGATGTTTCCTGCGTCCTTTTTTCCGAACGCTCCCACGTTCATACTGAGAGATAAATGTTTTGTATTTATAACTATAATTATGTATTACTATGATTATTGCTGCTATAATAATAATAACAGCGAAAAAAACGGCCACGACCAAAAGTCGCCCATCAATACATTTTTTGGATATAAGAACTATAATACGATTGTGATAACCATAAGATTAGCATATCTTAACAGTTATGGCTGTAAAGATATACTGTTAAATTTTCTAGGATCAAATGATAATTAAATTTGACATTATATAATGTTAAATTGATACTGTATAGTGTCAAATATAACCACTGTTTTAGTAAACAATATATTTAGTAGGAGCATCAGCGACTCACATTAAGTTAATTTGACCCCATAAAATTTAACAGTGTATGCCCATCTTACGGTTATCACAACCATTTATTGATGGGCGAAAATTATCATTATTTCCGGTTGTAGCAACCGTAACATTTTTTCTGTGTAACTATGTATATGTATAGCTGGTAACCTAAAATGACTATAATTATAATTATAACCATAAAATAGTTGAAATTACCATAAAAATGATTCGAGTGAGTATAATTTTATAGTTGTATTTTGGGACAAGCATATTTTTTATAGTTGTTCCAAAATATAACTATAAAATTATAGTCACTTGAATCATTTTTATGATAATTTGAACTATTTTATGGTTATAATTATAATTATAGTCATTTTAGGTTGCCAACTATATACATTTGCTGCTAGAACTATATACATAGTTACTGTTATTATTATTATAGCAGTTATAATAATATATAATTATAGTTACAAATCAAAACATTTTTCTCTCAATGCACGTTCATTAATAGCGAATTCGGTCACTTGCAGTACGCTAGATCAGTGCATACTAAAAGCTTCTTTACATGAAATTATTTAGCAAAGTTAAATGCAAAAATATATAAATATTTTAAACAATTAACTATCTACTAATGATATGTCA